CCAATCTATGAAAAACGCCACGTGTTATCTCTATACTACAAAAAGTTTTCAATTATTCCTCTCAAAGAGAGTCTTACGTCGAACTCTAACACCGCCGTATGCCTTTTTAAACACGAAAGTCCATCTATCATCTTCAAACGTCATAAGAAAATACGCAAGTTCATTTGAGAGGCAAATATCTCTTTGTCACTTTAATTGGCGAATTTATTTCTGGGATATTTACGACTTCTCATGTTGCGGCAATTTAAATAGAATAATACAAATTGATCTTTCAATCTCACGCACGCCTATTTCTTCAAGATAAAACGAAAATTGACACGTGTTTGTGGATGCCTGGTTTCCTTCAAGCTGTCTCCTTAAAATCCAACATAAAACAGTGCCTGGTAAAATTGTTTTGGGCTATAATATAAACTTACATCTGCATCTAATATCCATCCAAAACAGAAATTACATCACAATTTAATTAAATGGTGGAATTCATAATTTAAGAAGCAGATATAAAACGGGAAAAAATAAAAAATTAAGCGAATCAAACAAAATAACAGTAATAATTATTAATAAGATGAAAATACAGAAAATATAACAAATAATCGAAAATATAATAAATATAGAAAATTCAAAATATGATAAATACTATAAATATTCCTTATTGTAAAATACTTTATAGATGATCTCGATTCATTTGCAAGGAAATATCGATCATGGTCATATTATGATCAAGATGATATTTCTCGATAGAGTTAATATCGCAATTTGTCCGCCATTTTGACTCAAAAGGCGAAAAAATATAATTTAGGTGTTTGTACTTGTAAGTTACATGTAATAACGTATACGTATACGTTATTCGATTGCATTTTAGCTCAAAATGGTCATTTTCATTTCAGTATAAATAATCCATCTAGTGACTTTAGATTGGATCTAGAACGCTGTAAGAAGGTCGAATAGAGAATGAAAAAAAGAATTGCTCGACCACGTGCAATCCATTGATGGTAAGTTTATTGGTATAAGAACGGTAGACAATAAAAAGTAATCCACTCATACAGTTTAGCTATGTTTCTAAGTGCTACTATGGTAAGTAACAATAAGGTGACGTCAAATTACGTCTTAATGACGTCAATAAAACACTATTAAAATGTCATTTTGCTGCTTAAAAGTCTATATATAGTTAATTCTTTAATACTATATTATGATATACGTGTGTCATTAATACGTAATTTTTTAATTATTGATTCGATTTAATATTTTAATAGATATTTATGATGATATTAATGATTCCTAATATCCTAATATTGCTTAATGATTTACATAATTTTAATATTATTGATATTAAAATTATATTGGCCCTTTTTTTTATTATTTTTGCAGATACTTATCTATGTTTGTTATAAGACAGTGTTAAAGCATCACTCGTTCTTAATTTTGCTAGTATATATAAAACACGTATTTCACACGCATTCTTAGTCGATGGAAGGACAACACGATGAGATAGTTGACAGTGTGCAACCGTCACGTGAAAAAAAAGCGGTAATGACTCGGCGATGACGATGACGATCTTGTACTGCTTCGCGGAATGTGCTCGGGAAACATAAGATGATTCATCTGCTTTTGGCGAACAAATCGAAATAGTGTCACCGAACTCGCGTTATTATTTCGCGACTTGTCTATTTGATTCTATATTTCAAATGTATCATTTACGATACACAAATATGTTATTTTAAGCAATTAATTCGCAGCAAATAGATATTATTTCATGAAATTGATCAAAACACGGAAAAATTACTAAATTTATCTCTTTAAACTTTATTGAGTTTTATTTTTAAGAAATTTATGTTATCTCTATTGATTTCTTAAGAAAATCTTTTTCTGTTATCTTAAATATTTCTCTTTATTTACTTTTCATGAATACTTTATTTTTACTTATATACATATAATGTAAATAAATATATTGTTTAAACTTATACTTTTTATTATCCCTAACAAGAGTTCCTGAGTTTCTTCTGGTTTCCTCCTTTGTTACTCTCCCTTGTCAGCATTATAATACATAATATGATAAATATACACACTTGCAGTTGAGCTGTATAAACCTTGATTCAGCGCCCAGATGACAACACGGCCAAGAACTCAGCTGCGCGGCAATGACAACAAATTCTAACAATACGACTCTCTTACGCGACACATATGCGTCGTCATGTTTGCATTATGCAGCCCTAAGCACGCTGCCATTCCATGTTGCACAATTGTGCTCTCTCTCTCTCTCTCTCTCTCTCTCTCTCTCTCTCTCTCTCTCTCTCTCTAGCAACATGGTGTAATTATAGTTCCGCTTTAAACGAAATAATACCAAGCTTGAAGAAATGCTTTGTTCGAAGCCGACGCTATTTAATTCCTCTGATGGTTAATTGACTTATTCGTGGTAATTTTGCGTCTCACTAGAATACCATGACTAGAAACAATGGTAAATAAAATACAGCGTGTTAATTCCGCATTATTGTTGCGGTTATCATATTAATCGCGTGAACGAATATCGCAGATAAAATCTTTTATAATAATACGTTTAGAAATTACACGTGCGTTCAATTTTTATTATTTAAAACTATGTTCAAAGAAAGTGTTCAGATATTCAAAATAAAATTACAGCCAATTTTGTAAAAAGTTTTGCAGATACTAAACGAGTACCATAAATTTTATATTTATCAGCTATTCAAACTTGCGCGAACGCGAGATTCATTATTAATAAATGTACATATAAAGATGATTGTGTACAAGATGAATCGCGTTTCGGATTACACAAATCAATCAAGAGAATAGCTACTTAACATTTTCTTGCGTAGCACGACATTCATCATCGCCCCCGCGTTTTCTAAATGCCATCAATTATACACCGCAATTGTCTTAATGGTACTTGGCTTACTCACGCAATTAGTTTAATAAGACAAAAGAAGAATACTGCGCAAAACGATATTTCATAAATATTGGCAATATTTAAGCAAGCAATTTTTATATTTGAAATTAATTCTCTTCGTGTTTTATACTATTTAATATAATTTAATGTAATATAATGAATTAAAAAATATATTTAAAAAGATAAAAGAGGGAAACAAACAATTAAAAACCTAGAAGTGTCACACAAAGAAAATAAAAATATATTTATGATAAAAATATAAATAATTTGAGTAAGAAGCATAATTAAAATAAGGGAAAAAATACATAATTAAAAGAAAATAATTAAATTGAAGCAAATAGAAAAACAATGCAATTTGGAAATAAAAATGTAAAAGCAATTCTTTTTTGCAGTTTTATTTAAAAATTACATTATTTTCTATTTTTACCTTGATTTAATCACCTTCTTCTAATTATCCACTTTATCCTTTGTTATTTTTACAATTAGATCGTTTATCAATTAAAAAATATTAGTTTCAAAAGAACAATATAAAAAAGAAGAATGGAAAATTAATAAACAGAAATTAAATTGTGGAGTTTAATCATAAGGTTAAACCTACAATGAAATCATCTTCGGAGTAGTCGTCGCGCTTAGATGATTCCCCCTTCGTTATGCATCGCGTGCATCGCAAGGAAGTACCGTTGAAACCGTACTTTCCTTTTCCTACCGGGAAAACACGATTTCCGATTACACGTCTTAGAAAAGGTATGATCGAAAGAACGCTAAAGGCAAAAAGGCTATTTGCTATCGCAAAAACTGCGCCGTGTGGCCGTGTCGTTCCGCATCTCCGCTAAAAATCATTTAGAATATCTGAACATTTACATTTACGTATATATGTATACTTATTTATGTTTACGTCAATGCAAAAATATCTAGTTATATATTAAAATATTGTACGGTACTTCGGATTTTAGATCGGTTCAAATTTTTAAGTTTTCAGATGATCGTTTTAAAATGAGTTTCGCTCCTTTCTTTTTTAACTTCCTAAAGCGATTGCGTTTCACAGTGGACCGATAAAAGATTGTGACGCAAAGATCAAGAAGTGAATCGAAAACAAGCCTGAATAAAACATAAACTGTTTTATATCAAGAGACGCGGTAGTGTCTCCGGCCATGTTCAAAAACTGAAAACACTACAAGTCTCTTATTAGTTTTATATTAGTTTTTCAAAAGGAATGAAACAATTTTACATTCGTTTCAAAAAGTATAAGTATATTCTAGATTAAAACATACTTTTTTCTCTTAACAGATAAATTTTTAAATAAAATTTTCTTGAAATTTAGAGAGATCATGTGTTACTCGGGATTTAATATTTTTATTTAATTTTTCTGAAATCGAAGTTTTTATTCGCAATTTTATCAACGTTGCAAACATAATATTTTCGTAGATAAAATTTTATCGACGTCATTGTTTTACTGTAAAAGATAAAAAAAAATTTTTTTTTTTAAACTACAGAAGTAATTTTTGCATTTATGTGAATTATTTCTTTAAATAGATTTTTAACTTTTTGTTTATTCAACATTAATTTTATTTTGAAAAATAGAAATTTAAAGTTATCTCTCAGAAACTTCTTGAATGTTTTAAATACAAGTCTTTTTGATCGCGAACTTCTTGCTTACATCATTCTTAAAAAAAAATTTTAAAAAAATTGTTTATTATACGAAATTTATCTTAAAGTCGAGATCATTGACTGTAATTTTATCGACACGTTTCCGGAAGTATAAGTCTCCGCGCAACAAACCTTTATTTATCAAAACGTATATGTACATATACATTTTACGCATGGACTCGTCTACGTTGTTTGTGTTCATACACTCGCCACTTTTAACCGTGATATCCCTACTACTTTGCTGTTCGCCTGCCGGTTGAATTACTACAGATACCTATCTACGTGAGGCCCGACCGGCCCGAGAATCCAGCTTGCGACAGTTGTCGCTCGGTCGCTCTCAAGGAGTCATCTCGGTTTCGCTGATTCCTTTTGGAGGACTCTTTTTAATAAAAGAGAACAAAGGATTTTTTGAATAAAAAAATCTTCGGAGACATTTCAAAGGAATCGAGGAAATAATTTTTAACGCACTTTCGATTACTTGTCAAGGGTCTATCAGGAAGCTGTCAACAAGAATTTATTGATCAATTGAACGTATTAGTTGCAGGTTTCGGGGTGAGTTGATATTTATTCACTTTTAACTTTACTTATGTTTATTATTTCTTATTATACATTCATATTTATAATATTTATTTTATTTATCGTGTATTCATTTAATTTAGTCGTGGGATAAGTCTTTAGTAAGTATAATAAAGAAATATAGTAAAAACTAGATATATAATTGTTAAAATTAAAAATACATATACACACACGTTAAATGAGTCAGTTTCTCTTTTTTGAAATACTGACTAATATTAATGTGTATGCCATCTAATTTATGTAACTTTAGTGTTATCTTATATATCTAACATATTATTATAAATAAAACAACATAATTTGCCAAAAATCCTTTGATACAAATGATAATAAACATATAAGACAAAGTTTTTGTATCAAAGAAGCATATCTAAATTACAATTTCAAAGTCCGGAGCACAAATTGCGTTATGTTAGACGTAGAATGAGACGTTTGTAATTCGAATCAAACTAGCATTTAACGCGACGTACGTATTCCAATCATGGTCTCTTCTGGTAAATACGTGACGTTCATTTAAACGTCTCAGCTATTTTCGCTATTTTATCGGTATTTTCATAAAAGTCATGCATAATGTTAATCCATAATTTTTAGTATCTCTACCATCAATGAACACTCACGTCGCGTAGATCTTAATTTTGAAAGAAAAAATCATCAATTGATAAAAGAAAATTGTTAATTATTCTATAAATTATATATTCTTTGGAAAAGCAATTTATTTTATTAAATAAATTATTAAAAGAACAATTCACTATCGATTGCTTAGGCAACTGTTGTGTTTAAATAGAACATTAAAATATTTTTTAAATACGAGTAAACAATTGGATTTAATTAGAGGTTAAATAAGAAATACGGTATAAAAATTTAATTAAAAACTTTGATCACATAAATTATGGAAAATCGAGATATAAAAAAAAATTAAATTTAAAACTTACTCGAAATAAAATATATAAATTATGAAAATAATTTGTAACAATTTGTATAGTATATTAAAAAATTATTTAAAAATTAAACTTAAAACTGTCTAGTAAAAAAATATATGTATATATAAATTGATGCATTTAATGATATTAATATAAATTTAGTTTTTAAGAAGTCTTAAATTTAGATAAAATTTCATTAATTTAATTTAAGCCAAATTAAGTTCACCGATTAATGATGCAACGAAAAGGCTATTATAGCTTCAACCTAAAGTGGAACGAGTGGATCACCAATCGGACATGGTCAACCGTCGATCGATCCTTTAAAGGGATCGAAAAGAAACCGTACAGTGTCCACTGAGAAACAGAACGGAAAAATAAAATGAGTGAAGGAGAAAAATCCTGACACAGACCATATAGGGATAACGATCTCTCTAACGGTTACCGATAAATCACTGGAGGATCTAACGGGTGATTTATGCTTCCGAATCAACCGGTCTTTGCTTTCACAGAATGGTTGGCGGCAATCGCAAAAGAACGAATCAATGGTGAATTCTCAGATAGGTAGAACGGAGGGGGTTTTTTATTACCACCAGGTGGAAGGCGATATCGATAATCGCACAGCGAAGGACAATCTTTTTTTTGTTCGCCATCGAATGTAGCGAAGCGTGTGAAAAGCAAACCAAAAGGGGCGGTATGAGAAAATAGCAAAAACTCATAACAGAAAACCGTTGAAATGAGAACGTGTTGGAAACCTTCGAGGTTTCGTTATCTATTTATAACACATTCATGTTGCATCGTTTCTGTTATAGTAACCATTTGATTGTTGACAGATGGAATAATTGATACTGAGATTGCGTTCCGATATTCAATGCCAGAAAATCTATAGCGAACGAAACGTATACTATAGATTTTCAGTATTGACAGTGAATATCAAAACGCAGCCTGAGTATGCTGCAATATAAAAATAATTTTTTTATTTTTTTATAATTTTCGAAACCGTCACAATCAAATCATAAAACACTTATACATGTATATGTATGTATATGGAAAGAATAGAATTTTGTTAAAGTATCAAAAATTTAACTAGATATAAAGAACTGGAAATAATTTTGTTGACCCATCAAAATAATTATGTAAGACGCTTAAGCATGAATAATATAGTAAAAAGTTTTGACATTCTGTCAATCATTTCGAGCAATAACTACATAATTAACTACATAATTATTTTGATGGTCAAACAAAATTATTTTCAAATCTACATCTACAGTAAAGTTATTTTTCCGAAAAAAAAAAACTCTATCACATTATAATTAAGCAGTTGTAATTAGAATTAAAAAGTAATACTAATTTAATTCAAAATAATATTCTTAAAAGTGTTAAAATTATATTTTTAACTATAAATTATTATTATTTTTGTAATATTAAATAAATAGCAATAAACATAAAAAATAATATACAAATATGCAATTAATAATATAGATTGATATTACGCGAATTAAGTAAACAATAGCACATTGTATAATATCTTTGAAAGCTATTTCTATTTCGTGGAATTTTCCAGAAAATTTTTTTGAGTGACCGTTCACATTTTTTTTGTTAGTAAAATTATCATAATTTTTATGCCGAAACTTGTGTTGCTAGCACAGATAAAAATTGTTTAAAGTATTAGTGCGCAATTTGCCAACAACAACATAGACTTGCGTTCTCCATTTGGTTAAAACTCGTGGTATAAATACATTTACAAAAACATAAGCTCTGCAATCGCATAATGGCAACCAAATAAATGAAAGGAAAAATAAATATAAATGATAAAAAATAATGATTTAACTTAAACATAGAATTCAGTGTACTGTCGCACGCCTTTATATTAACGTGCGAATATTAACTGCACGCTTTTACAAGCCGGTGAAATTGCTGGTCAGGCGGAATTTATTAATTCAGCTAATAATGTCACACAGATGAAATAAAAATAGCGACAGAAAGTCACACGCAACTTTAGAAAATATGATGAACGACGATATATTAATATACTCTCGAAAAACAAACTTGAAAACAAGAAACTTACTTTTAAAATACCGAATTCGATCTGGGATATCCTGGGTAACAGAAAACCGCAATTTTTATATTTTGTAGAGTGAATATTAATTATATTAACTACTGATAATAATACTACTGATAATAACTATTGAATTAAAAATTACAGATTAAAATCCATAATATAAAAGACTTCTATAAAATAAACAGTGGACTTAATTACTGTAAAAAATAGTAATTATTATAACAATTTTTTGCCTATATTCGTAAAAATCAGAGTCAACAAACAATTTTGCAACTCGTATGAGCGAATCAACAAATAAATCCGGTTCCTTTCGAATTTACCGGACTTCGTAACGGTGCGATTTAGCAAATCGACCGTGTAAGCGACAAATAGTTTTATGACAGAGTCGGGCGGACGCGAAGGAAGAACAATCTCGGACTGTGACATCATCTGTAAGATCGGATCATCTCAGCTCACGACTTTAGTAATGACGCCTATATAATTACGTAATCCACGTACTAGATGAAATTTTTGGAAAGCAAGTCGGTTGTCCCTGACAACGCGACGGTTTGCTTAAAGCATTTATCGAGGAAATCACATGATAAACGATATATGATGAATCACGAAAAAAATCACAGCTCAGAAATAAACTCAAGTAAAACATGAAAGATAAATCTAATTATTATTTTTTGTTCTAAAGAAGCTATTTATGTTTTTCTAAATTGTAATAAATAATAATAATACAAAATTGTAATTGTAAATTATATATGGATGTTTAAATATGAGCTTTTAAATATGAGAAAACCCCTTTGATTAAAAACGCAGCTGTTTTTAATCAAAGCGCGTAGGTGGCGATCAGCGAGCTTTGGCGCGATTAGGTAATTCGAACCGATCGTTCGAGGTGAGGATGTGACGATCTACATACGTAATGCAGCCTGTCGAAGCTTTTGTCGCACTCGTAAACCATTGCGTCCTCGATCTAGATCCACTCGACGTCAATCAACGAAACCGCTAAACGTCGCTAAAGAAGAGTGTTAAAGCTCAAAAAGGAGGTCCATTCTAAATTTCAAACTCTTAAAATGCTTTCGCTTATTCACGTGATGACGATTGCGAATTAAATATTTTTTATTTCTTGGAAAAGTGCCAAATCTCAATAAAAAAAGGTTCGTGTTTATAACAATATAGAAACTATGTACGTTATATCAATTGTATAATCCTAAAGTAATACTTATCATTTTTTATATTGCTCTTTGGATAGAGAGCATTAAAAAATATTAGATTCACAGATTTTTATCTGTTTATCTCAAAGAGTTGAAAAAATTTCTTAAAGATAACGACTTTTTCATTTTCAGCAAGTCTCCGAAATTATGAGATATACGAAACAATATTTTATACAAAAGTTTTATAGTATATTTTATACTTTTAATAACGGAATATTGATATTTTTTGAAAATGTCAAATTTTAAATTCCTTCACCTCTAGAAGTGTTCCGATTTCTAAACCTTGGCATAAGCAGATAAAAAATCTAATATTTTTGATGTTCTATAATCAACATATCCAAAGCTTATTAAAATAGATAAGGGACACTTCTGTCGATTCCCTTATAAGATTATATTCATTTTTTTTTATTGTTTAAAAAGATAAACGTTTTTATTCTATATTCGAATAATATGTGTCTTTTTTATAACTTTGCTATTGATATTATTTTTTCTTACATATTTCAGATGGTGAACCTGAAGAATGCCTTGGGTGCTGATGAGCTTACCGATAAAAAGGTCGGTCTTCCTCGTGCTCTTCTGGCAGAATTTTTCGGTACCTTATTACTCAACTTCTTCGGCTGCGGTGCTGTGATAACCAAAAATGTTGTCGCCATCAGTCTGGCTTTTGGTTTGACAGTAGCGTGCGTAATTCAAGGGATAGGACATGTCTCCGGAGGTCATATCAATCCGGCGGTCACGATCGGTCTCGTCGTTATCGGGAAGGTAGTGTTTTATACTGATACTAAAAAAAATTTTAGTACTTTTATTGAATATTTTATTAATATATTTTATTGTCTTTATTTATACAAATGACACGTAATAAAAATTAACGTCTCATTTTTTATTTTTATCGTCACAATTTAATATAGATATGACTATAGTTATATACATATAAGCCTATACCATGGTAGTCATATCCATAAGTCTTAAAGCGTTTTAAATCTAATATACATGTACATTGCATGTGTATCATATGTAAATTGAGAATCGTCTATTATTCCGCAAATGAAATCTATCCTAGGAGTTTGAAAAGATTGATATCTTGCGATGAAAATCGATCATCTCTTATATAAAAATCAGAACTATCTGAATATTCAAAACGGATCCTGTAATAACTCTATTAAAATACACGAAAAAAATACTCTGAATTATATAATTTAATTATATACTCATATAATTGTATTTGTTATTATTAAATTATACAATAATAATATAATTAGATAAATTATATATACAATTTATCTGATTGATATTGATACGTATTCGTTTTCTTTTCTTGCTTTAATATTTTTAAATCTTTTTCAGATATATATAATTGAATTAACACAACATTCTGATTCGTAATCGCAGGTACCAATTATCAGGGGCGTTTTGTATGTTGTGGCGCAATGCGCGGGCGCTATCGCGGGTTCAGCGATCCTAAGGGCTCTCTCAAATGACAAACTGGAAGATTTTCTAGGCGTGGTAGAACTTGCTGACGGAACTACTCCAGTGCAAGGATTCGGCGTGGAGTTCTTCCTTGCGTTGATGTTGGTACTGGTAGTTTGCGGGGTGTGTGATGCCGCTAAACCAGACAACAAGCCTATCACGCCCCTTATAATCGGTGTGGCGGTCACTGTCGGTCATCTCGTTGGAGTAAGATTCTGATCACAAAAACAGTTCCTATTTATTTTAAATCAATTTTTTACGTTAGTTTTACATTAAAAAATTTTAATTTAATCAAACAATCCGACATGTCAGAATTGAATTATTGGAAGTACAAATTAGTTCGGTCCGTTTTCCAAAATTGGATCGTCTCCAAATTTTTCGAGATGGAATTCGAAAATTGCCTGAGAGATGGGAAAAAGTAGTAGCCAGCGATGGACAATACTTTAAATAATCTGTTCATTCATTTTATTTTGAAATAAATGCATTTTTGAACACAAAAAACGGACCAAACTAATTTTTACACGTAATATATTGTAATTATAATTTAATTATCCTAATATAAAATTTATTTTAAAATTATACTATTAAAATCATACAAGTTAAATTTTGTTTGGGAATTAATACTTTATTCCTATATAATTATTTGAAGTCTTTAAAAAATGAAAGAAATTTAAGAATTAATTCCGTTTTTATCATTTTATATGTCTGTAACAAATTTTTAATAATTAGATATCACGAACGGGTGCGGGGATGAATCCGGCGCGTTCGCTGGGAAGTGCCGTGGTGATGGGTGCTTTCTACAATCACTGGTTGTATTGGGTAGGTCCGATTATGGGCGGTATAGCTGGTGCACTCCTCTACGTGCATGCTACCGGACCTGCTAAGCAACCGGAAGCACCCGCCAGGACTTATGCCTCCGTCTCCACCGAGGAAAAGGAGGTACATTATACCACAAGAATGTAAAATCATTTTCAGACACAAATGAAAAATATTTACTTGCCAAAAGATCTTATAATTTCATACTTAATTTCCTAAAATTTATTAAATTTTAATTAATTTTTTAATATTCAAAACATTCCTCAATTTCTGTACTCCAATGTTTTAAATAAATTAGTAAAGAAACTATAAAATGTTATTAAATTCACATTGATCATTTTTAGTAAGTTCTTAGTTTTAAAAAGTTCTTAATTATTTAGTCAAACATCTTAATTTTTTTAATAAATAAATTAATTAAGTATTTAGATACTAAATTAAGTTTCCAGCCTTTGATTTTTTGTATCAAATCGTTAGTGTCTGAAGGTGGTTTGCAAATATAGTTTTTAGATATAATGTAAGTCTGGCATCTTCCTATTAATTAACAAGCATTTAATCCGCATGAAAGTCGCTACACTGAAATACACGCATTTAACTTTCTCTTATAATAATATTTATAGAATTTCGATACTTTCTTTTTATGATGGGTTCGTTTTGGGAATACAAATACTTATCCAATCCTTACGAGCCAGAATATTTGAGAATAGAATTCATGCACGCTCATAATGCATGGTAATAAGAAGATACTAAATTATTCTTACTCTTTAAAAAGTAGTGAAACTTTTTTAGGGAAAAATTTCGTTTTTAAAATTTTTCTATGATTTCCACATCTTAAAATAAAATAAAAAAAAATAATTGTCTAAAAATATTTCATGACATGATGGAACGCAAGAGACAGACTTATTTTTTTAAAGAATTTTTATGACAACTCCGCACTCTTTCTTTAATTCTGTAAAAAATTTAGCAACTATTTTGCACTATGAATCTGAATGTACTAGTTCTCGGAATAAACCTTCCACTCTAAGTCCACGATCGTCTCTGCCCCACAGAGGTTCGAGTACATTGACAGCGGACGTGGCGAACTTTAAGATACGAAGATGCCCAGACATACAAGAGCGATCTAGCAATTCGCCCATAGATTATAATTTCCATTTTAAGAAAATAATAATTAAAAGTAAACAGCGAACATGAAAACATCCTTATTTTACAGCTCCAGACTCTTACCAACAGAAAAAACGTCAGTCCCGCTTGATGCTTTAATCGATTCTAACCATCTTCTTCTGCCAACTCGCCAATCGCCTATGTGATAAGAACTATCAGACGACTCTTATACACATAAAAATCGTGCGTGTATTTCAAAACTGAAGTTAATGAAATTGCACAGCTTACTGACGGAGTGATTTCAGAAAAACGTAATCGTGACGACGTTAATTTTTATTTATCATTGAAAATATGGGATATAAATATAATATCTGCATTTCAATTAGTGCACTTTGAAATAAAAATTACAATTTTTCTGATACAACTAAATATAATTAAAATTTTTGAAAAAAATAAAAACATAGCTAAAAAGCATAGCTATTAAACATAGCTAAATAAATTAAATTAAAAAATAAATTTCTCAAGAAAAAATTCCAGACTTTATAAAATATTGAAGTGATAAGAGTCTCTGCCTTTGTCTATAATTTTGTACCGATTTATTATAATACATTTTTCATTACAAGCTGAACTTTCAAACATTTAATTATACAACATTCTGATATAGGTCATCCTATAATCGCGAAAGATAAGAATGTGAAGAAAACCAAAGAGATCGTCACGAAATATTTCACTTGCCGATATCTCATGCGATATCCACATTGAGTGACAGTCATTTATTGCACAAGATTGCATTTTGATGGTACCATTGATAATTGATCGATCTAACTTTCGACTAAATTTTCCTGCACTTCAATCAATTATACTTGAAATAACATGCAATTTACTTAAATTCATATATAAAATAGTTTTCAGTAATTTTCAACACACAGTGTTTCATAATTATGCTTCAATAAAGTTTTTCTATTAATTAGTATAAAGAAAATTTCAGAATGCTTCTATAATTTATTTTTTAAATATTTATTATTATTCTCCTCATTTCATACGAAAAAAATTTTTAAGTCTTAAATCAGCCATTATAATAATTTATTTAGTTATTAATTAAGATTAATCACGATGTTATATAATACATTTCAAGATTAAAAATTCAATCATAATTAAATTATCTATTTTTTGTTTATAAATCATTGTTTTTTTCATTTGCTTAATTATTTGTACATCTGCGTGACTTTTCGATTATTTCGAAATCAATTAGATTAACGCAAATGCATGTATTTGTCATTATTCCGTATAAGTTAATACATAGGTGATTTTTACTCGAACTTTTTTGTCCACAATCATCGTAGATACTCTCTAAAAACATGTCAATACATTCATGCACGAAAGCTTATATTAAAGAATTGTAAGATATTTGATTAAAGGTCACTAATCTCTTAAAAACATATCGCAAAAATATCGCGATTGATTTTCAGAGCATAGGTAATCATGACTTTTTGACTCATCATATATATTTTTTATACTAGCAATAAAAACATGCATTTCTTTCGTAAATAAAAATACGTAATATACGAATATTTATGTATCAATAAAGATTAGAGAATACAAATATATTCATCGTAAATGTGCGTGTTATACGTAATGTGTTGTACGGAATAAAATATCTAAGTTTTTATACAAATTTGTCTGATTATTATTATCCTCTGGCCTTAAATAAAACACTATTATGATTATATCTCTCTATTATATATATAATTATTAAATAATTATTAATAATTACATAATTATTAATATTAAATTATTATCTCTTTTTCCCTTTAAACTACCTGTCTGGATATTTGACGTCTGGAAGAGGATGGAACGGAGCAATAAATATTGTGGTGAATTTTCTAACTTACACATTTTTGTATATTATTTCATATATTCATGTATATAGGTATTTCAAATATTTCGCAGAATATTGGATAATCTATCATTTAATGTGTTATCATTTCAGTATTAGAGTTTAATGAAATAAATCTAAATATGATTACTGTAAACACATCATATATATCTATTATAGTTCATTACCTGTCCCCAACTTTGTTGGAAAATGTTAACTTACAGAATCAGAGTCTGTTGCACCAATAAGAAAATCAAGAAAGGAGAAAAAAATAAAACGTAATTATATCTACAATTATTCTAAATATGTAGCACAAGAAAGGATTAATGTAGTTGTAGATCAAACAGATCACTTTCCATTAACAATTCGCGTTAATTTTAATCGATGCTAAAAGTTAATTAAATTAGTTAATTAAATCTTTTGTTTCAATAATAATAGCAAAACTACAATCTAAACTATTCTAATATTTTTATATATGTTATTATCAATATACACGGTGATTAAAAATAACTTTTTGTCCTACAAGGGACATATTACTGGCCGTATTCTGAGACGATTTTTCATTTGGCAAAAAATTTGACCGAAGCTTAGTTTTTAAATTATATAGAGAAATAGTTAACGCATCACAATAGTATATTAAATATGGAAAATAAGCAGGAGTGACATGTTCACTGATGTATGGGTGTACAACTTTGCTACCGCCGTTTTTACAGGTATAAATTTATACCTTAGTAAGGTAAGTGCTACCCCTGCTTACCTTCCGTACTCGACTTATGATACGCTAATTATTTCTGTTTATAATTTAAAAACTAAGATTAATTCTACAATGTGCTTTTTATTTTCTGTTTCTTGCTGTTTGTCTCATGCCTTCTTAATCAAAAAGGCAAGAGACAAACAGCAAGAAACAGGAAACAAAAAGCACATTGTAGAATTACCATAAGATTCGAACTAACTTTTGCCAAAATTGTCTCAGAATATGGCCAAGAATATGTCCCTTTATGGACAAACAGTTATTTTGAATCACTCTGTACTATAATTATGTTGAATTAAATGAATTGTATATGATTATATTTAAAAATAAGAGAAGATTATGTTGATTGAGAGGAAATATTTCGGATGAATGAAGCCGATTGGTGCAACTGATTCTGGCTACGTACTAATTCTTAATGCTAAAAAGAAGACGAATCCGATGACTGTGCGATCAGAGGATCATGACTTTTCTTTTTTCTTTATTTAGTTAACGAAAGCAAACGTGCGCAAATGAAGGAAACCGTCAGAAGATACGGTATGTACAGACATGTTCTTACAACTGTGATACAGTCCGCAAGCCAGAGCCGATAAAACCATCCGATATAGCTGACCTTATATTTACAATTGTTTTCTCATTAAGAATGTACCAATCAGAATAAAAGGATCAAAACGAACAAATAGGATCACAATTTTTTCCAAAAATCAAAAAAGTGCTTTTCACTTCGAGAACACAGAGTAAATCAAATTTTGCGATATCAAGATAAGTTAGATAAAGTAAAACTCAATATAATACATCAGAATGTTGCAACTTTTCGAGTTATTCATGGAAAAATAATAAAAATAATTGTATAATATATATACCTACAAAGATGTAAGATAAAATAAAATCTTTTCGCAATGTACCTAATATAGGCATTCCAATGAATTAAATAATTTAAATAATTAATATTTGTCACATTCGCACGATGAATGACTCATTCAAATTATTTTTATCTTTGTCAAATCGGTTGTTTTTGGACAAAAAAAGTGAGACATACAAGAGAAATTTTGATGTGACCTTAATGAAACGAACACGATCACCGAGCTTCGATATCATTGAAGCAATTTAATTAGAAAAAGTGCTTAAATGAAAAAAATGCAACAATATTCTTCCGTAAAAGTATTCTCATACGATCGATTCGGTTTTAATACCTGTACACATTATTATGGAATATTGATGCTGTCAATTTAATTTGCCCAGATTCTCGTTTTGCGCAATTGGAAATTAACGTTATTATTCTGAATATTAATAGTATTGCCAAAGTCAAATGATATTACATACATTATTTAAGAAAATTAATTAATACACTTATCTCACAATAACCATTATCATAATCATATAGAGATCAAAGCTCAAAGAGCTTAGAAAAAACTAAAGTCGATAATAAAAACTAAAATTATAAAAGAATCATTAAAGTATTTAAATTTCCTGTTGTAAAGTTATATCAATATTTTAACACAATGCAAAGTATATTTATAATATATTATATAATATAATGAATCCTTAATATTCCAAAAATTATTAATACAATATCAATTTTGTAATAATTAAAATCATGTGATTCTAGTACATATAATTCAAAAAATGTTTTAATTATTACATTATATATATATACACATACATACATAAATATATATATATATAATAATATACACATAATTTTAAAATAATTAAAGTTCAAGTTTTCTAAATTTGATTTTCTCTTTATTGTGCAACATATATTTTAATCAAAAACTTATGTAAAATATGACCGTATATAAAGGAACTTTTTTAATATACGATTGAAAATTATATTATACGAATAAAAACTACTTTTTCAAGACATATACACTTTCTACAGTTTTTAAAGTATTAAAATAACATATTTATTTTTATTAAATAGTCCAAACTCATTTTATATGCAATTTTTTTAATATTTGTTTTATAATTGCAACATTGTATCATTTTTTTAACTCAATAGACGATCTCAATTGATATCAATAATATGGTCCAACGCTAGAACATTAATATTGACGTCGATCGAATTGAATAGTGTGTGATTAATTTTCCTACTATTAAATATTCAAATTAATTACCAATTGAGCAAAAGACCTCGAGAATCTTATAGCGAATTTGGGAACATAAATTTTACTTACAACTTCAACCAAAAAAAAAAAGGAACAAATCTTCAACCTTCCATTTGTGAAAGCTTGTCCTCCAAACTGTCCTGACTATCATTAGTATCATTCAAATTGATAGTGTTATTGCCCTGTGCCAATTCAATGACGGATTCGTTCAAATTACCGCTCGCCGATTTCTGTATATCTAGCACGTCGTCTGATGCCTCAAAGATCGAAGCAGTTTCGGAAAGATCTTGATTATCCAATCCGATAGTACCGGAGTCAGGTTGACTTTCCTCTGGTACGGTGATGACCTGCGAAGATTCTTCCGCCTCAGAATCCAATTTGATCTCCGTCTCCTGCGAAACTTCAACCTCCATCGCCGTCTCTTCCTTAATATTATCTTCGATTATTACGCTGTTCCGATCCAATTGCTCGTTGATTATCGCAGACTCAGTCTTTCGTATCGCAGATGTGCCTGACGATGAAGTCGCGATACCAGAAATTTGCGTAAGGTTGCTCAGAACCGTCTCCTGTATCTTCACCACGTTATCGGTAGTCTCGAAAATGCTGCACAATTCCCGATTCATCTCTTCAACCTCTGATGTATCGCCAGGCTTTACAATCATGTAACGTTTGTTCGAATACACCTTATTGCTCGAGATCGTCGGAACCTTCTTCGAAATCGGTGTATTACTTGATGTAGTACTGTTGTCGGTCACCGTCGTACTCTGGATTTCTTTCTGAACATTTTCTAACGTTTCTTCTATGATAGGATTCTCTTCATTTTTTATTGAACCTTCCTCCATGTCTTCCTTTTCTCCTTGGATCGGGTTGCTTTTTATCGTTTCCGTGTCATCATTATACTCCCGCTCCTCGTCATATATGCTTTGTTTCCGTTTAACAAATACTCTCTTGAGCGGTAGCTGCTGTTCATCCTCAGACTCGTCATGACGCTCCGGTATTTCATCAATCGTCTCGTAGTCTTGCTGCGCTTTCTTTGCTTGTAACTCCTCGATCTTCAACCTTTGCTGCTCCACTCGTTTCTCCAACTGTTCCAGCTTCTCCTTGGTTTCTTGATCTTGGCCGTGGGTGATCACCTGCGTCTTTTGCGAAGTAATTGAGCTCTTTGGCGTGCCGCCGCTGGATGACGTTGAAGTCTTCAATTCGAACTTCTCGTTCGCAACGACATCTCCTGTTTTTTGACGTTTCTTCGCAGATTGCAATACTGCTTGTATCAAATTCTGACTCTTATCGAGAGGTAGTTTAGTTACTACTCGCTTTACCACATTGCCAGCCGGTAATTTTGCCAGTTCCGCAGGATCTATCGTGGTACCATCTGGATTCATAATAACTTCACGAGTAGTGTCACCCTGTCGAATAATTCTGCGAACAATCACTCGCCTGATCTTATGTGTACCAGGAGTACTACTGCTCAGAGAAGAGGAAGAATCTGCATCCTTGGTATTAGGTGTACTAACTGGTGTACTTCCTTCGTTACTACTTCCTGTCGATTTCCGCACAATTCTTTTAATTACTTTGATGGTCTTTGCAGTGGGCGTTGGAGTTTCTGCCTTATCGTTATCTTTGCGATTTTCTTGAGAAGAGATTGGGGATTTTGTTACAGGAGTTACTGGTTCTTTAGACTCTTGATCGACATTCGACTGATGCTTTAACTGAATCTTATGTTCCTTGAATACTGAGGCAACGATCTTTTGCACTTGCGCCTCGGTTTCATCTATGTGGCTGCTCTTGGGGCTATCCTCCTGCGATGACGTAACATCTTTCGAGCTACTCTGAATAGTTTGTTTCGTGACCTTTTGCTCTTGAATATCGCGACGCTGAATGGGCATTAATGTCTTAACGGTCTTCTTCATCATATTGCCATCTTTGTTACGCACATAAACCACCTTACGCTCTTCTTTTTCATGTCTCTCGGATTTCTCTTCTTTGTCTTCTCTTTCCTCATCGTCTTCTTCTTCCTCCTCACTCTCTGAGGGCTTTCGTGGTATTGGTAACTTCTTTACAATGTACGCCGGCGGCTCGTAGTCATCGTCTCCGTCTGAATATTGATCTTCTTCTTCTTCCTCCTCATCAGAATCTAATTCAACATTCTTCTTATTATCAGGCTGCAAACCATCTGGGCCCATTTTCTCGCCCACCTCAATGTGCTGTTTGATGTGAGTAACATAATCAGCGCGATTACGACAAGATTCCTGACAAACGTCACAAGTGAGAGCCATACCCGAGCGTTTCGTATGCGTCAACTGATGCACCTCTAAGCTTTCCTTGCGTTTGAATGCCTTTCCGCAGTCCTCGCACACATGGCGCTTCTCTACTGAATGGGTACGCATATGTCTAGTCAAATGATGCGATAGCAGGAACGTACGAGGACACACTTTACACATATATGGCCGATGACCAGCATGGGTAGCCAGATGCCGAGCTAACTTTGTGCTGGTGTGGAAGGCCTCCTTACAGTAATCGCATACAAAAGTTTTATCCTCACTGTGCAGCATTTCGTGCCGTTCCAGGCTTTGCTTGTATTGGAAGCGCTTGTTGCAAATATTACACTGGAACGGCTTCTCTTTCTTGTGTGCCGAATCCTCGTGTTTTTCGAGATCCTCTGTGGTAAAGAATTCGCGATCGCAATGAGAACAGGCATAACGAGTTTCTTCTCTGTGCACTTTCTCGTGACGTTGCAGCTGAGTCAGCCGTGAAAATTGTTTTTGACAAATTGAACATGTATACGGCTTTTCTTCCGAATGTGTGCTCATATGCTTGCTCAGGTCATATTTGGTGAAAAAGTGTCGGTCGCACTCGGTGCATTTGTAATTGCGATCGCGATGAGCGCGCTGAACATGCAATAGTAGAGCCTGACGTAATGGGAACGTACGTTCGCATTGATCGCATGCATGCACTCTGATCTCTCCCGGCTCTAGTTTTCTCTCCTCTTTCATATTTACTTCTTGTTCACCCTCGCTACCTCCGTCCTGCTCCTCTTCGAAAAGGTGTTCCTCGTTAGTATTTTGTTTTTCATTTTGACGTTCCCTTTCCCTCTCTCTTTCTCTGGTCTCACGTCTAGTATCTCTGTTATCATTATCAGAAGTGCGTCGCTTTTTTGAGATCTCATTCTTTGACCTAGACTCAGCGGGTCTCTTATTGCCTATCTCCGGTGGATCATTGGAGATGGGAGGAAAAGGTCTCGGCAATACTCCAGATAGAGGGTAGTCTCTCAATGCTTCATCAGCCTTTTTGCATTGCAACTTAAACTTATACGAGCGATCCAGATTCCAACGACACATATGGCAGATCATCTGCGGCATCCCATCTGAAGGATAGACCTATCAAAAAACAAGATGCGATGAATCATTAACAATGTGCTTATCTATCAAGGATTCGGGAAGAAGTGTCTTTGCTGTTGGACGTTCAGAAATTGCAGAAGAGGTTTCGCTGAATTTATACAGTTTTTGTATTATAAAAATTCAAAGTTACATATACTATAAATCTTGTAAATTAAAATACAATTTACATATATTGTATTAAGGTGCTGTATATAGTATAGATACTACAAATATGTATATATAAATAAATATACATAACTACATTATACAATTTTGTGTATATAATGTACCATAAAACTTCGTTAATTAAAAGATGCTTGAAAAGACGAAAAGGTACAAAAATAATAAAATATGTATATTACACCTAAATAATTTTAATATGTCATAATAGAAAATTAGAACATAAATACAGATAATTTTTTTATTTATCTGAAAAGACAGAATGTTAAATTTTTGTGTATATAACTTCCCTTTTTTAAACTTTTAACAGAATATGTGATATATGTATAATATATAATAAAAAAATATATAAAATATTAAATTGGAGAAAAAGTTCTACAGTATTTTATTAGCTCAAAATTGTATATTGTACATTTAAAAAATTAGCGATTATACCATTTGATAGAATAAAGTTTCAACTTTAAGAAAATTAATCTCAAAACAGCAAACAGTATACCATACAAATTAAATAGATACAAAAACAGGTAAACATAAATTAGATAAATTAGATGAATTGTAATGTAGTATATAAAATTAATTGTTCAAATTGTACAGTATTGTACATAGAATAGACAAAAAAAAGATAAAAATTAGAATAAATGAACACATAAAAGACATTAATAAAACAAATGGTAATTTGTTGGTAATATCGACACATAGAATGTGTGTCTGAAAACCATGAATTTGATTGGGATAATATACATATATCAGCCAAAGAATCAACGTATAGTAAAAGAGTGGTATCAGAAATGATACGTATAAAGACATTCACATAGACTCAATAAACAAAGCGGCACTGAAAACCTCCCAGATAATTATATTCCTTCTACATATAAAATACACCTACAGAAACATAACATTATAAAAATAATAAATAATAATAAGGCTCTATAAGTATAAAAGAACATAAACACTTGAAGGGTTAAGAGCCAGTTAAGTAACAAAGAACTTTTAATTCAACACAAAAATAAAAATGCTTACAGCAAACGTTTCAACGCTGACATAATAATCGGGTCATTCTCAATGTTACAGTGAATATTATAATAGTAAAATTATTGAAAATTTATAAAATATATAATTTTCAGTATTCTCTTCGTGTCTTGTGTTATAACATGTTTTCTCTTTATTTCAGCCTGTAATTTTCCATATGTAACAATTACCAAATTTTTTTTATTATTTGAGTTCAGTTTTCATTAAAACGCGAAAAATACGCAGTAAGTATTTAAAGAATTATAAATATAAACAAATAAAATACTTTATCAACAAATCGTTAAATAAAATCTTAATTTTACTTTATAAAGAAAAGAACAGAAAATAAAGGTTTTCTTACTCAAATCGTTTTTTAATTAATTAAAATACAGCTTTGAAAAATTTGAAAAAAAAAAAAAAATTTGGCGGGATTGGCGGGAAACGCGAATCAAACGTCCTCTTTTCGCAATCGCCGGAATCGCGATGTAGGATCAGCCGGCAATATCGCTGCCTATACTACCACACGATCGTATATCAATTTACACTTCGTGACACAACAAAAGCACACCCCTCGCGGCAACTCGCCCCTTCCACTTTTGCGCTGTACAATCAAACCCCTTTCCCTACGGGGGACGGTGGAGCCAGATGTTGACGCGTGTTATCCGCGAGGGAAACTCGGCGGGGCATCTCCGGCGGTCGATGCCGTCGACGGCCCGTTGAGGGTATTGTTAACGGCGGGGCTACTCACCTCGATGGAGACGCAAGACATGATCTGCAACGAGAGCGGCACCTGGAATGGCTTGTTGTGCTCGCGTTCATAGAGAAAGCTTAGAGGCTCCGAACTGGATAAGCAAAATCGGCAGACGCGCCGCGAGCGCAGCGGCGCCGGCCTACTCTCCATGTCTGCCGGCGTCCCTTTTCGCTCTCGCCGCCTCCTCTTCCTCCTCTTGCTCCTCGTCGTCCTTTTAGGTAACGTGTTCTAAAGCTCACCGATGTTCGTCCCCCGCTCGGCAATTGCGTACGATTAACTACTCAGAGTATAACTCTGTCGCCCGACCACCGAGAATATGAGATTTGCGAATAATTCGCGCGGCTGCTATCTCGACTCACTCGTTAGTTGCTCGTTCGCCCGCTCGCTTAGTCGCTCGCTCACTCGCTCAACGACGCCGAGCGTCGGTAAGCGTCGTTACGTCGCCTTTCTCACCGGAGAATAGCAAGTACGCTCTGCCACGGCGCTTTATAATGGCGGAAGAACGCGGAACAGGCTGGCCAAACGTGCGTAGAAAAGACGCCGTCGTCTTTGCACAGTGGCGCCGAGCAAATGTCGCTTGGACACGTGGCGCGGCTGAGCTGCTCGGCAGATAAAGCAAAAAACGTGTTTGCCATCGATCAACATCGGAACAATTTTAGTTATATCTTTTACAAAGAGATGGCGCATATATACATATAATGATGTCTTTAAAGGAAAAATATGAAACACACGGTTGCAATTGAAAACAAACTATTTTTAAACTCCGTAATAAACAATTAATTATAAGTGGCAATTTAAAAAAAACTGTTAAAAAAAATTTGTTAAAGAGGACCTATTATTTTATTAAATAAAAATTTAAACACCCGTAAAGGAATAAGAAAAACAAATTTGCTGTAATAATATTGTTCATAAATAAAAGCAAATTTTTACCACATCCCGCTTTCCTGATTTTGTACTCGAAAATATATATAATATCTACATTATACACGTACAATTATAATCGCTAAAAAAATAATTTGAGTAAATGTTTGTTACTATCAATGAGATTCCGAAGGCCCAGGGATAATTGAAGAAAGAACGATGATATGCTATTAATAATTAATAAAAATTTGCAATTGTTAACATAAATATTTCAATAATGCATTATCAAATGATTTTTAATATTTAAATGCTGCTAATTAAGTACGCATACTTTCACAATTATTTCTTTGCATTTATCATCTCTTTATTATAAGAGAATGCTAGAGTCATCAAAACTGAACGCTCAATGCGTATTTCTCCAACCATTTCGTTTCCCTGATACAGAATGAAAAATTCTTCTCTAAAAGAAAAGAAAAAACACAAATAGCTTTGGGAAAGTACAACCTGTATAAAAATTTAAAAAATTGTAAATTGCAATTTAATGTTACTACGTAGGTTAAATTAATTCAAGTATATATTCAAATCAAAAGCACACTTTCTCATATTTGAAAAATTTATAAGAACATATCATGCATGGGATCTTCAAATTATGATTTTGAACAAAAGAAATGAAGAAAAAGTACAATTTAAGTACGTAACGTTTTAATATATGTAATGTTTTCTTGACGTATGTACGTAATATTTTATTTGGAATTAAAAAACTGTTTTCGCAATTTTGCAACACATACACGCAAAAGCAGTTTTGTTTTTCAAAAGCGTGTTCAAAAACCTTTTTGCAATGTTTTTATAATACCATACACATTTGTAACAAGAAATTTATATCTCTGAATATTAAAGCGATGTCTATGACAAAGATATCCGCTAATGCGAATATGTATAAAATTTTAGTGTAATTTTTAATTAGAAAATAAAAACTAACATCGATGTTAGCGCGCTAACATGCTATAGTTTACATCATAGAATTTCAGAGATAAAAGTAAGTTATCAATAAAAGTGCGTTCTGAATACGGGCCTATGAGTTGAGATATCAATGGATTAAAATAAAAGTATAAAAGTTGACCTTGCATTTTATCTTTTATTACACACAAAATATGTACACATATTCTTAAAAAGCACACATTTGATCGATATGCAGTATTTGCGCCAATAACCCAGTGAAAAATGACAACGGAATTGATGTCAATTCGATGTCGATTCCATTGTCATTTCTCATCATTAGAAACTGTATTCTTTATATTTAATTTTTATTATTGATAAAACAATATAAATATATATTATTTTTATGAGCATATTTATGTAAGAAAACATTAATGAAATGATAAAGATAAGGGAGACCGTTCACAATGAATTTAAAAACAGAAATTAATCATATTCTTCTGAATACTACTTGTAAATTCATACTGAAGAAAGAGTGTTATTGCGTTAATTGTAAATCTGGATAATTCAATCTATTATTGAATGGCTATTAAAAAACGGATGAGATCTTTTTAAAAAAAATTATTTAAAAAAAGCGTTTAATATATTTTTATCAGATATTCAAGAATTCCCAGTTGGTCAATTAAATAAATTTTTTCAGGTAAATAAATCAAAATTCCTTGTCTATCGGATAATTAATTGTCGATTTTGTTAATCGCATTATACGTATATGGTATGTCTTTTCAATTGAAGCTATTAGAATTTCAAAATGATCGAATATATTTTTTTCATTGAGTATTACTAATTTCATTGAGGATTACTAATGAGATAAAGTGGGAACGCTTATTTTTTTTGCAATAAATAGGTCGAAGAAAATGAATCAAACGCCTTTTTGAGAGAAATTTTGTCAATTTTATTTCCATGTGTCTATATACATACATATAATAGATTTGCAGACTAATCCTCGTTTCTATGCATGAGAAGGAATTTATCACTCTTTATGAAGTGATTTTTCATTTAGTTTTGTGCTTTCGATAAACAATGGTATAAAAACATATTTTTGAACGCTATTGTTTTCAGAAACACCATTTTGTTGTACCGCGTGGTATGTCCGCAACATCCAAAGCATTATCCTTGCATTATGAAGTTTTTTGTGAATTTTAAATGCCAAAAACACAGGCCTTTTTTTGTAATGTTTCAATTGTTAAGTAATTACATATTTGTTTCATATTTATATAAACTTACCAATTTTATAACTGGCAAGTTTTCTTCATAAAATTGCAATTTGATTCATTCCTTTCGTCCTACTTATTGCGAAAAACTATTTAGTTTTACATCATTTCCATTGATCACTTTATATATATTAGATGTGCAAATTAATTTTCAGTCTTTTTTAACCAACTTTTATCTATCTAGCTATTTCAAGATATAGGAAACGTCTTGCTGGTTACTCCAGGTTACTCCAAGCGTATTTGCAAGTTCTAATTGCATTTGGTAAGATTTCTTGTTCAAAATTTCATTCAACTCCACGTCTTCCACTTTTTTTGATTGACCAGGGTATTCACGATCCTCAAAATCGAAATTTTCCTCTCGAAACTGTTGAAATTTTTTACACATATTTTTTACATATACTATACGATACAGCATTCTTACCCAAAGGCGAACAAATAATTTCTTTTGCTTCAGCTGCGAGGATCAAATATTGTACCTCATTTTAACGTTAAAAGATGACACTTCAAAATAACTACAGAAGTATGACTACATAATGTATTATTTATCTTCGTTATTCATCGAACGTAAACAGTATAAATGAAACATGGTGCACATCATATGTGAAGCAGAATGCACCTTTATTTGTGCTATCAGGGTACTTATACAGCAATGTGATAGAAATTCGGATTAATCAATTGCAATAATTTGTATAATTGTATAACTACTCAAAATTACATTAATGGATAAAAAAAGACGATTTCTTGTCATGACATATATCACTATAATATTCCATCTTATTACAGAGGAACAATATAAAACAATAATACATATTCGCACGAAGTGCATCGACTGGTATTATCGAACTATCAGAGTGCGCTGAGATTAATGTTAAATTCTCTGAAGATAAGGTAATAGATTCAACTAAAAAGTATTATACAAATTTTTATAATGTAATATGTTGTGTGTATATAT